TCCCCTTCAGGCAGGAAGCTTCAAGAATGAAGGGGGGAGGTGGGGGGTACTTTTTTTTTACCACCCTAGCCCTACTCTAGGCTCCCAAGATTGGAGAGTGGGGTGAGGTAGGGGCAGAGGGAGGTCAAGAGGAGTGGCGGGCGAGGAAAGCCATGCAGGACCAGAGCTGTCATGACCTGGCTTTGGAGTTCTCTATCAGGGCTGATCAAGGGCCCCTTCTGGAATTCCTTGGAAAACTCCCAAGATGAGAATATCTTAGTTGCAGTACTCTTTATTTTTTTTTTTTTGAGACAGAGTCTTGCTCTGTCACCCAGGTTAGAGTGCAACGGCATGACCTCAACTCACTGCAACCTCTGCCTCCTAGGTTCAAGTGATTCTTCTGCCTCAGCCTCCTGAATAGCTGAGATTACAGGCACACACCACCATGCTTGTCTAATTCTTGTACTTTTAGTGGAGACGGGGTTTTGCCATGTTGGTCACGCTGGTCTTGAACTCCTGATCTCAGGTGATCTGCCCACCTCGGCCTCCCAAAGTGCTGGTATTACAGGTGTGAGCCACTGTGCCTGGCCATTAGTTGCAGCACTCTTAATGTGCAGGAATGCATTACCTGAAAATTCTTCCCTCAGCCTTGAGGGTAGCAAGATTCCATCTATAAAGGTATTCCAGCAAGCCACGGCTGCCTGTGTGTCAGAAGCATAGAGATTCCCCCATTGAACTGGTTGGAGGCTGAGCTAGATTAGCTGCATGCTCAGATACCTTCCAGCTTCAAGTCCTGATTCTATGGACCTAGAACATTGTGAGGTGGGAGCTGCAAACCATTCCAGCTTCCCGTGAGGGCATCCTTGGGTCTAGTGTGTGGAGCGGGGTCCCGAGGAGGAAGGTATGATGTGGCTGGGGACTGGGGCTGGCAAAGCCGGCCCCATCTTTTCCGCATCTGGGTGAGAGACCTACCCTTCTACCCTAGGACCCACAGGGGCCACAAGGCCCACCGCACTTCCCAGAGGATCCTGGAATGTGTGTGTGAGTGTGGCAGTGTGTGTGAGGGGCATGAGCTTTTCCTGAAGCCCCTTTCAGGGCATTGTGGGCAGAGGCTCAGGCCCAGGAAGTAGCTGGCCACAGGCAGTGGGTTCCTGGCTCACGGGCACTGACCACAGGCCCGGCCGCTCCCTCTCTGGCTGCAAACTCAGGGCTGCTGCTTGGCCCCGCCCTTGCCCTGGATATCATGAACCTCACCCGAACAGTGCTTTTTCCCTCTCTGTCCAGCCAGCAACCCCTCTTTGCCATCCTCAGTTTATCCTTTCTGCCTCTCTCAGCCTTTTCTTTTATGACGTAACTCCTGGTTGCGGGAAGGGGGCGGATTTAATTGAGTGGTGTGTGCACGTGTGTGCATGTGTGCATGCATGTGAGCGTGTGTGTGTGTGTGTGTGGAGCAGCTGACTCAGCCTCAGGGACTTCCCCTGGAGAGGAGAACTGGGCATTCATTGCTGGTTCATTAATTCATCTGAAATAGATCCACAGGACCCGCCAGCCCCATGCTGGGCACAGAGACCTGGGGAGCCCACTGGGCCTGGCCCCTGTGCTTAGGGGGCCAAGTCCAGCTGCTGAGGGTTCTGCGGACAGAGGGTTGTCAGGGCTCCCAAACTCACCCACCCGAGGGCCTGCTGTCACACCACCAGGAGGGCCTGCTGTCCCCACTCTGTTGTGCAGTCTGTGTCTTACCCTATTCGGGTGTTTACATCTCCA